TTGAAGCGCGTGGACGACTCGCCGGTTTTCGCCGGTCAAGCGTCCGCTTCCTTTTTGATGTGTCTGAACCGCAGTCATAGCTAATGTAGAGGGGTACAGCTCGTTAAGTTGCTTAGGGGCTTTGAAAAACGTTGGAACTTTTACGCGGATCTAAACCTATCTGGAGATTCATGGGGTCGGGGAGGATTCGCAGAAGTTTCGAGACTTAAAGGCAGTGGGTCGGCAGAATGAGACCCGTGGCAAAACAAGGTCACAGGGTAGGAGCCCCATAATGGAGCCTATTGGCCAAAGCTCGATCTTTCTCTGCCACCTCTAACCTCCGAAATTTCAAAGCGAAAGCAGCGCTCATCTCCTGTCCTCTCCGAACCCGCCCACCCCATGGACGAGTGATTTCCGCGGTCAGAGCGCCAGCCGCAATGCTATAAGCATGAGGTCCGTAACGACTCTGCGTCTTCGCCATGACGGGCTTCGCGTTCACTCGTCCATGGGGTGGACGGGTTCGGAGAGGACAGGAGATGAGCGCTGCTTTCGCTTTGAAATTTCGGGGGTTAGAAGTGGCAGAGAAGGATCGAACTTTGGCACATAGGTTCCATTATGGGGGCTCCTACCCTGTGACCTTGTTTTGTCACGGGTCTCATTCTGCCGACCTACTGCCTTTGAGTTAGTGAATACTGCCTTAAATAGAGGACCATTGCCTCGCAGGAGCTGTTTTTATGCATCTCCACTCGGGTATCACGCATGAGAAGTAAAGACTTTCATTTCGAAGACTCTGCTATGACAAACCGGTGTTTTGTATAGTTTTTAATTTTTGCAAATAAAAATTGACTACATTTAGAACAGTTAGTTGTGTGCAAGTACTCAGTGTTGCTAAAAAGATAATGAGAATTGCGCGCTACATCACTGCGCGAAATCTTCTTCGTTTTTCAAGTGGGATCTCGAAAAGCGACAGTTCATGCAACTAACTCCTTCTTGGCGCACCGCGTAGAAACAAATTCTTCCCTATCTTATTATTATCTTATTAGCTGGCTTACCCGGCTCCGCCCGGCTTCGTCAAAAACGATAAAGGTCCCTTTCCTATCCCTGTACAACCTTTCCCTGTGCACACTTCTACAAGCAATTCCCTATTAGTGTTAGTAATCAGCATGCTCACCTACCTCCCTCAACAACCCCCAGCCCTGTAGCTCAAACTTTGCAAAAAAATCGATGAAAGCAAGGGTAATTCTAAAAACTGATGGCGCTATTCGGCTATCCGGGCCCCAAAATGTTTTTGTGACGGATCTTGCTCAAACTCGGTACATGGAGGTTACGTGAGCCACTTGATGACAAATATCGTAGTCATTTCGCGTGACAGCGGGTAAAAATCATGAACCTGCCTGAAACCTTGGCAAGGAATTACCTAAAGTGTTGTTGAGAATATCGTGCTTAATCCCCACGATAAAGGCAATTCGTGTGGTATAAAAGTTTCCCACGACCGCAATACTTTCCTTATAGGACCACTGCCGCGCGCAATACACTCTTCGGCGGCTTTTGCCTAAGCAAAGAACAGGGGGGGGGGGTGAGATTTGCCGCGCGCGTTACCGTTGGGACAAGTTATCAGGATGCGCTGGAGACCGTCATGCAAAACGACCGTTTCTCCATTTCGTGAATATCTGGGATCTGAATTGGCCCGAAAGCGAAAAAATGTCCATTCAAACTCTGCAACTCAAAATAACTTCACAATAATGCGTTATGACAGCGAGCAAGCATCATATTCATAAGCAGTATGCTTGTGAACCGTCACAGGTAAGGTTTTGAGCAAATCTGAAACTTCGACCCACCTACTGTACACCACCGTAACCTAGAATATGCGCTATCCTGCGAAATCAGCATGATATTCATGTTTAGCGCGCTAAACACACCACCACCCTAGACAAAGTTTAAAGCAAATCCATGTTTTCGATCCCATACCGTGTAACCACCATAACTCTATGGAACGGTCCCATGCAGAGAGTATGATGTTAGTAATCAGCATGTCGAATAAGCCCTCTGGATAGAGTCCAGTACGGGAGACGTAGAGAGAAAGTGTGATATCTGTAATTAGCATGCAAGATAACCCTTATAGACGAAGAGCAACCTCTAGGAAAAAAAATTTTGGAGCCTGGATAGCCTAATAGCGCCAAACTAATATTGCATTGCAGTTGGCACAAAGGGGTAATCAGCATGCTCGATTATCCCTTTGTGCCAACTCCCAGCCCCGTAGCTCAAGCTTTGCAAAAAAATCGATAAAATCGATAAAACTAATGGATAATTCCAAAAACTGATATTGTATTCGTAATCAGCTCGATCACCCCCCCCCCCTGTGCCAACTCCCAGCCCCGCAGGTCAAACTCTGCAAAAAAATCGATATCGATAGAATCGATATCGATCGATAACGAAAAGTGGCCTATGACACCCGCCCGGCCCCGAAGTGTATGTGTGCCAAGTTTGGTCCGGATCGGTTCAGAAATAGAAATTTCTATTCGGAACATACGTACAGACAGACATACATACAGACAAACAGACATTCAGCTTTATATATAAGATTAAGTCGAATCCCGTGGTTTGCGCGTGCTTTTGGTGGATATACATGCTAGCGTATGTGCGCAAACCTCGGGCGCAAGACCTTGATCGAACCTACCTATGAATTTAGCGATAGAAGCCTATCGAAAGTTCGCAAATCACCTTGGCCTTCTATTATGTTATTACTGCATCTCCTATGCATCGCAGAGGCTGGCACTAGTCATTGGTGAAGGCTAACACGCTGGTCATGCCCTGTCAGTTTAAGTCATGCGGTTACCTCCAAATTTCTCTTTTTAAATGATAGTTAATGAATCAAAAAAAAACCTGATCGAAGACACACTCCCGCCAGAAGATTATCACTGTTACCACTGGTTAAACTTATGATTTTTGAGGTAGATAGACAGATATAAATATGCGCATTATTATCCAGTACTTCTTTGTCGTCGCATGTATCCCGCTTACGCAAGGTCTGCTTTTCTTGTCAGACGTCTCCATGTCTGACAAGAAAAGCATCTATCTGAAACAAGGTCTTCATCTATACCAAGTTCTCGCAGCTCTGCCTTGATTCTATCCATCCACCTCATCTTGGGTCTTCCTCTGGGTCTTTCGCCTGGCGCCTCCACGGCCAGGACTGACTTCGTGATGTGATTTTTATCCCTTCTGCGCACATACCCATACCATCGTAACATCTTTTCCTGCACATTCTGGCCAATTGGAGCTACTTTCATTTGCGCTCGTATAGTATCATTGCAGATGTGATCCTTATGTAACTCTTAAGGTCCATCGTAGCATCCGTGTTTCCATGACACTGAGTTTGCGCTCCTCGATGCGCGTACACGGCTAGCATTCACTGCCATACAGTGCTGCTGGCCGGATGACGATGATAAATTTATTCACTGAACGTACTCTTCTGACACCCTGTGCTTTGTAAGGCCCACCATATGACTCCATGGGGCATCGAAAGCTTTCTCAGGTCCAGGAAGGCTGCAAGCAAATCCTTTTGCTTCTCTCTATAGATTGCGTTAGTTGTGCCTACTCATTTCACGAATCGAACTGATTCGGTGACAACTCTGTGATATCTCGAAGACACGTTTCGATTATTCGCTCGAAGATTTTTAGGATGTGGCTCATCAGTCGGATTTGTCGGTAGGATGAGCAGTCTGCTATGTCTCCTTTGTTCTTCCATGTCTGGATCGTCGTGCTGGTGTACCACTCGCGAGGCATACTCTTGCTCCTTGTAACTTGATTGAGAAGTCTCTTTAGCCATGTGGCTCCAGATTGTCCACATATTTTCCAGAACTCCATTATTATCCAGTGCTGACTATTTATAAAGTGTAAGGCCTTGGACAGAGTTGAGCGATTTGATCGTCGCGATTCAGTCGCTACAAGATAAATGTTACGAGTTCATTGCATGTCGATCTTCTTGCATTTCGGTTGTGATAGTTGTCCAACACGACTAATCGTGATAACTATCACAACCGAAATACAGGAAGATCGGCATGCAATGAACTTGTAACACTTGTCTTGAATCGCGACGATCAGATCGCGTGAACTCTGCCCGAGGTCTAAAGCACAGCAAAGCGAATTTCAAAGCAAAAAAAGATGCGTTGGGAGATGGCTAGGAAAAGCGGAACAGAGTACGTGCATTGGTGATCTCAAAGGCAGTGTCCGGGTAAAAATTCGATTTTGAGATTTTGTGCTTACCCGAGCCTATTCGCTAGCTGAGTCCGAAAATCCACATTGGAGAGTGCGAAAACGACGAACAAAGGCTCTAATACTGGAGGGAAATCAGCAAGTGGGCGGGGTCTTCCCCACGGTGAATTCACGCTCCCAGCTTCCGGGGCGATCTTTTTGATTCCGGTTTCTAGTCATTCGCTTGCATTTGATCGGTAGTGATGTCAGGTCGGCTAACGGATTCGAGAAAATTGCTCTGGAAGCTGAAAGCATGGATTCACAGTGGGGAAGACCCCGCCCACTTGCTGATTTCACGCCTACGTTAGAGCCCTTTTTCGTCGTTTTCGCGCTCTCCAATGTGGATTTTCGGATTCAGCATAGCGAATAGGCCCGGGTAAGCACAAAATCTCAAAATCGAGTTTTTGCCCGGATACTGCCTTTAAAACGGAGGAGAAGTACGAACCATTTCTAATGATGAAAAAGTAAAATATATCAAAGAAGCCGCATGATTAGCTTTCTATTGAGTCGATAGCCGTTACATTCGGAAAAAATAAAGCTCTACTACGATTTGCTGCAGTAACATGATTACGATTAATGCTCCGCTTGAGCCGTATGAAGCGCAGGTTGCAAAGCTGAAATCCCAGAAGCTTTCCTGATATTTACAAGGGCGTTTAGAACGTCTTTTAGTATTGAAAAATAACTATGGACGATTATTGTTACTCTCATTGATCTTTCTGAAGAAGATAAATTCTTACATTTGATGTGACCAACGTTATCGAAAACCTTACCAAGCAACGTCCCACAAAAGATAAAAGGATAAATATCGAGTGAAATCAAATATTGCTGCAGAGACGCCATATTCTCTAAGGTCTCCTGTACTGGTAGGAATGCGGCAACCGATGCTCGTTGAACTTCCAGTCCGAGACATATCTTATATTCCGATCTTTCCCAAAACTTGGCAAATCGCTCAACGTCTTCCGGAATCGAAAGATTTCCGTACAGTGAAAAAGATATCCTGAAACAACTGTTAGATATATGACAATGTAAGAGCACCTTGAATTTGAAGTGTAATTTTTTGCTATATATTAGGTTGTCTCATAATTAATGCACTTTTTTCTAACCTCTTTTTAAGAGAGCTGGTTTTCAAAGAAGAAACATTTTTCCTCAAAACTCTTTATGGAATCAGAAAGCGCGATTCCTCTAGTTTCTAAAATGTGCTTTTGTTTTCGCAAATCTTTATTGATACCGAACTTCCATGCAGGGCCCGGCATAGATCGTCTGGAAGCAGGCTGGACTTCGTTTTTTGAAGCAAGAAGCAAAGGAGATATCGTTTTTTGACGAACCGAGGGCCAGCACCAAGAATAAGCGCGACTTGGTCGTATACAAGCTTTTCGAACAGGTTCTCACACGATTGACATGCTCTACCGTGTATGGCGAAAAGTGCGCGCGATTTGAAAGCAAGGCTAGAATAAACAAATTGCTTGTTTACAGCGCATACAGAATCATATGACACCAAAATTGAACTGTATACATAGAAAATTATTTGCAAAAGAATTATGTAAAAAGGTTCTAAATCTTATGTGAAGTAATACGTTTTCCAAAATTAGATCGTCTCTAGACGGCCACCAGACGATCTGAGATCGTTTGGAGCATATATTTCTGTCACTTTACATAAGTTTTGAATTTTTCTCTCATGGACGGATTCCCCGGTCAAAAATCTATCCCTGAGCATGAAGACATTCATATCGTACCCTTTCCTTTGTTTTTTGCCTTTATTTCTTCCTGTATCGCTTTGTAAAATATCGCGCTCCAATGCCAAGCTGTTGTGCATGCGTAGTATTCAGCTCCAATTTGGATTTTCTCTCTTATCTTACATTTTATCTTTCAGACTATTAAGTCTTTCTTGTTTTCATCTTCTCCTAAGCAAATAGGTCAAAGGGGACTTCGTAAAACTTCCGCAAGTCAGGGGAGACTTCGTTTTCAGAAACGCTAGAAACCGACTCGTGCCGGGCCCTGCTTCCATGCCTTCAAAGACATGTGATTGAATTTTGAATTTCTTTCCCTTCACTTTCGCTGCTCCAAATCTATGAAAAGCAGACGGATTTTCTCCAAAAAATATGCTTAATGATCGCAAAGCTTTGTGCTACAAAACGCTTGTCAGCGTGAGATTATTGAGAAACTCAGAGCTGAGAGATCTTGTCCCAAACTTGGCTGATAGCTGAGGCCCATCTAAGCTGCATAAAAATCTCAAGCAAAAACCGACTGTATAAATTTAGCTAGATACGCGTAGAGTAGACCTAGCACAACTAATGCTTAAAAAAACGCAGCGTTTCATTGTCTTTTCGAAGAGAAAAAAATCCCAAAAAGACCGTTTTTTGGATCTTCCAAAATGCTGAAAAAAATGGGTACTTCCAATTTTTTCTGCAAAATTTTCTCACAGAAATATGCCGTAAAATTCAAACTTCATTCCTTGCACAACCGACCATCGGCTATATAATGAGCAAAGTCCGCGAGATCCTAGTACATTTGAGCAAAAGTTTAGCTCTCTCAAATTATAGGATTCTAAAAAAATGTTCAGGAATTTTTTAAGCTATAAAATCTTTCTTAAAGTGGCTGCGATCCAACAAAAGCATGCGTTCTGTAGTCAAAGGTTTGTTGTTTGCAGTAATTGGCTATATAACAAGCAAAGTTTGCTAGTTTAAGAGCATTTAGCTCTCTCAAAGTGCAGTTTCTAGAAAAATGTTTGGAAATTTAGCGGGCTCGAAAATCTTTTACAGAATAGCTGCGATCCAACAAAAGCATGTGTTCTATAGTCAAAGGTTTGTTGTTTGCAGTAATTTTTGTTGCACTCAAAAAGGTGGTTTGCGAAAAGAGTTATCCTATTAGAAGTTGAAATTCATAAAACGTGCATTAATTATGAGACAACCTAATATAAAGAAAGATAACATTCTCTCAACAATACTTCGTACACAAGGCGGAGGTGCTGCTACTGACCGCATCTACTAACAGTGCAAAACAATGAACTGCGAATGCGCGTCACGAATAGAAATGACTTTGCAAAAATTGGGAAAGCTACGTTTTCGAATACTAGTGATTTGGACAGATTACCACGTCATTTTTCTCCAGCCATTATCGCTTTAAAGCTAAGCACGCTATACCACGGCCTAACTTTCTGAAAGACGCAGTGCAGGACACACCAAAATCTGCCCTTTGCTTAACCAGATCGGCGGCTGGAGGCGGGGCATGACCTGGGAGGTGACTGCTCGCGTCCGCGACGACGTCTGCGCCTCCCTCGCAACATGCTCTCCGATCATTTTCTAGCTTCAGCTAGGTCGCGGAGCCCCGCTTTCCAGGCGTCGATCTGGTTGAAACAAATGGTACACATGAACTAGCGCCGCTTATTTCACAAAATAGTCGATACTACTTCACAGATGATTTTGGCGCTGACTGTGATGTCAGAACAGCAAGAGCTCAACTTCATTTAACATGATTGCTAAGTATCGTAATTTCCATCCTTGACTCGTTAACAAAACATAGTTATACTTCAAAGCAGCCAAAAATTGAAGCTTCTTCCAATCCAACTTCGATAAAATAAAAGCGTTTATGCCTTACTCTGGGATCAAACGCGTAACCGCATCGTGAAATAGCAGATAATTTTTATTGAGAGGTTGCTCGTAGTACACGACGTCAAATCCTTTTAGATCCTCCATGATAATACTGTCCGCTTCCCGTGTATGCACAGCAATCTTGATGTCAGTGTCGTTTGGCTTCCATCGCACATTATGTAGATTTTTCAAAAGACGCAGGTCGATTAGCACAGCGGGAAAGCTCAGGCTGATATTATTTTCCCACAGCGCTGCGCTGTGCTTAATCACCTTTGAGTGGATAGCAACCTTAAACATGTGTTTGAGAATCACATTTGAGCGCATTTTATACAGCTACCTTTCTGTGGCTTCCCTGCGAGTGAAACCTTTTTATCATTATGAATACGAATACCACTGCTAGGAGATACACAAAAATAATTCGTCTTAAATGCAGCATAAACGTAAGGCCAAACTTGCTCCTTTCATACGCCAATGCTGAAAAAGTGATTTTATAGCTTGAAGTAAGCAGGAGATACTGGTCAGTAAAAACTGATACTAACTTGCGTACAATTACCACGCTTGCTGGTTTGCGAGCTAGCATCAAAGTGACTACAAGTTATGAGGCACTAGGCATTTACCACATCTGCGATGGATGAGGAGGGGAGCGGGGGGGGGGGGGGGGGGGGAAGGAGAGAGAGAACTTGTGAGAAGACACTTTATATCACTAGATGTTCTAGAAACTACACTTTTCGTTATCTTTTTATTTTCCGAAGGTCCTCTGGCTAACACTTTAGAATAATGAGATGACAGCGCGTTGCCGTTTCGACTGAATTTTTTATTGTTCGTGCTATTTCAAAATCCTTCCTTTCTCCCAAAATCAATTTCGTGAAGTTTCGCTGAAGATTCATTTATGGAAGTGCAAAGGATGATTTCGATTGAACGAACGAATGATTATGAAGATTCTGAGTTTTTCGATCAACAGCGACATCCAAGCATGGTCTATCGAAGATGTCCTCACCCTTGAGCTTCATATTTTTACAATAAACATGCTAGTCTGCTTATCAGATCCTCAGAAGAATTTTATGATGTTCTCACTGCGTTCGCGAAAGGAAAAATGACTGTTAGAAAAGCGGCTCTCCCAAGGATTCTCTAGGGATCACAGTGTAAAACAAAAAACAGTATAAAACTCCTTACATAGTACTGGGCTTTTGTTTGGCTAGGTTAATAAAGTAGTGGGCACGATGCGAGGAAGACAAATTTTTGGAGCACTGGATTTGAAGGCAGTGTCCGGGCAAAAACTCGATCTTGAGATTTTTTGCCTATCCGGGCCTATTCGCTACGCTGAATCCGAAAATGCACATTGGAGAGCGAAAACGGCAAAAAACGGCTCTAACACAGGAGGGAAATCAGCAGGTGGGCGGGGTTCTCCCCACTGTGAATTCACGCTCCCAGCTTCCAGAGCGATCTTCTCGGTTCCGATTTCAAATCACGCATTCGCACCTGGCCGGTGGAGATCTCAGGGCGCTAGAGGAGTTTGGAAGATCGCACCAGAAGCTGGGACTGCGAAATTCACAGTGGGGAGGACCCCGCCCACTTTCGATTTCCCTCCTGCGTTAGAGACCTTTTCTGCCGTTTTCGCGCTTTCCGATGTGGATTTTCGGATTCAGCATAGTGAGGCCTGGATAAGCACAAAACCTCAAAATCGACTTTTCGCCCGGACACTGCCTTTAAGCGTCTACCATTTCGCGGCTTTTAGCTTCCCCCTCTCCCCCCCCCCCCCACAGCGAAATGTAAGTGCAAATCGAGTAAATAAAGTTTATCACTAGAATTCAAGAAGTTTAAGGGCATTAATCACATCTCTATCAAAAATAATAACGACTACATAACCGCTACTCAAATTTGTAATTGTTTCTCAAGGGACCACCCGGTCTTCATTGCAACTCTAGAACTGCGGTTTAGCAATAGATGATCTTCCAGCATCCATTCTTGACTAAATGTCAAGAATTCATTGACATACACTCGAGAACGCTTTGAACACGTCTAATATAACAAACCGCAGAGATGATTTATGCGTACAGCGTATGTCTGCTTGCTCTACTCGTCTCCCCCCCCCCCCTGTCATCCAACAAAGACGTCAGCATGAGATGCTGGTTAGAAGTAGAAGCCGCCCTTTGTCTCATAGATGGCTTTTCCTTGTTTATGAAGTTAGCCACACATCTCCCACTTACTCCCACATGCGTTCAATCTTTGCAGCTGAAATATTATTCATTTTTCAAGACCAACATTAAGCTGCGAAGATTGCTTGGACGTGGGAGCATTTTCAACAGTTTCACTTATCATGCGCTTTGCGTGCGAAAATGCGAAGTGTGCTATATGCATCGCGACAATGTTAAAATATCACAGGGCAAAAGATTTCCGAAGGAAGAAATGGGAGTTTGAAAGAAACTGGACAAGGAAGATTTTGGAAGTGGAAGGGAGTAGAAACACATAATAAAACACAGTACGAGTAGCACCAATTTTGACCTCTGCTAGAAATAGTTCGGGTTTTTTAATTAGGAAGATAAAAGGAATATTTCAGCTGCGAAGATTGCACGCATGTGGGAGCAAGTGGGAGATGTATGGCTAACTTCGTAATTATAAGGAAAAACCATCTATGACACAAAGGGCGGCTTCTACTACTAACATCTCATGCTGACTCCTTTGATGGGAACTTTGCTAAGCACAACTTTAGGGTGTGAAAGTACGAAATTTTCTCCAAAAATCTTTGATAAAACAAAAAAAGTTGGCATCGGGTAAAGAAATACATCGAAGAAACCGACTAAAAAGCCGTCAACTCAGCAAGTGGTGACTTCGGATAAGTAGCAAGCCAGAAAACATTATCTGCTTTCTTGGAAGACTTTTGCATAGCTCTAAATTGAGCTATCAAACTGATGTCATTTCGGAATAGTGCACCTCTTGAGTTTCCCTTCCAGATCTAAGTAGGTAATTGGTTCAACTGCTACAACGTCTTGACCTCTTCAGCAATTTGGAAGTTTTCTGAATTGATAAAAATACCGAAAATACGCCATTAGGTGTCCATTTGGCAATGAAATCGCTCCTCTTGACATACACCCAAACTGAAGAATGAGGAGCATTTGAGTTTTTCGAAAAACAAAAAGATTTTAATAGAAAACATCGGATTGAAGAAATACTGTGCTGACTGTGAACGCATGGATATTAACGTTAGCTCTCAGGAAAGGAAAAGTACGGCAAGGAGGAAAGATACTCAAAACTAGCAGGAAAAATGGGACGGTTTAGAGTAAATAGAAATTTGGATAGGGATTCCATGGAAAGGAATTATGTATCTATGTGAATGATTTGACCCTAGAAAAAATAAAGTCTTTTTAGATTAATTCATGCTGGTAGCACATCAATGCTAGTCTCAGGAAACATTTCTGCGAATTCGTCACGAATGTCAGCATGAGAAGCCACTACATTTGAATGCCGATAGCGACAAGGACGTTTAGTTTTCTGTTGAAACCAAATAACGGACGGCGCGTCACTCTAAATATCAAAAGTTGAAGCATTTGAAGTGTGCGAATAAGAATTTATCACGCTTGTATGCTTACGCATTCCTCCCAATATGCACGACTTCGCAAGATTTTTATCAACCCAATATCATAGAGTCAATTCTTCGACCAAAGGACAAAATTGGCTCTAAAGAGCTATTTCTAGATTTGCTTACTTCATACTTATTTGTTACTTAACCAAAATATCACAATTTGTTGCGATTCGCATTTTCGCTTCGTTTACGGCTCCTCAAGAGTTCTTTCAACTTTATCTGCGTAACTGTTACAGTAAAACGGTTGCGAATTCACTTCTCAATAAATTTCTGAGCCTTGATTCACAAACCTGCAACTTCCCTGCAAAATAGATACGAAGCAACGTCACCCACTTGTTACTTTGTTCAATCACATATTATTCACACATCACACATTCGTAAATACAATTGTTGAACTTCGCTCCTATGAATATGGAAAACAGCAGTACTCTTTTTTCTGGGCTATTCACAAATGTTTGCTCAAATACTACAGATAAAAGTGAAAGTATTACCAACTTAGAATCAATCATACATTACGATCCCATCGCCTCGCGATATTTCCGACAAGGCAAATGTCACGAGTCTATTTCATGACTTTCATATTGCATTTGATTGTGATATTCTTCGCGATTGATGGCGTCGGAAGTGTCATAACAAGTGCAAGATGATCGGCATGAAATGTTTTCGTAACAGTTGTTTTTCGGAGAATAGCGAGGAGAACGCTTGATGTATGCCCTTTGGCAAGTGGTTCCCGCAAATTGTGATTGATACGAAAAATTGAGAAGGAGACATATTTGCGTCCCAAATTGATTGTTTCTTTGAAAGTTGACCACGTTATCAATATTTCTTCTTGGGCTGATCTTGAAGATAATTGCCATTTCAGGAATGCCATCTAAAAGAGCTGAAGAAAATTTTCTTTACTAGAGTTTGTAATTTCAAAAGTATCAAACAATCTCTGAAAACTCTTCAGTGATTTTCCTTAACTCAGGTGCAGCTGAATGTTATACTTTTCAAAATCTCAGGGCAGTGGGTGGGGGAACGAAAGCCGCCAGGTCCAGCCGCCTTTCGCGGCCAGCTGGTCCTTTCGCAGCGTTGTTGCATGTCGTTCCAGGACCAGCAGTCCGCGGAGGCGGCTGGACCTGGCGGCTTTCGTTCCCCCACCCCAGGGCAGTCCTTTTTTCGTTTCAGAAATGAACTGCCAAGTTCTCACCTATTCTTATTCACATTTAACTGTTTCTTAATGTATGGGAAGTAGCTAGCTGAAGGCTCAATGCCCCAAAATCACGCAATGATAGTGATAGCATTTTGAGAGGCACCCTTGACTTCCTTTGATTTCACATACTCGATGATAATATCCGTATAAAACACTGTATCATGTGAGGTAAGATTTTCAACTACTTAATAAAAAAAACCACAACTTCTTCTACCGGGTGTGTGACGTTTCGCACGACCGTAATGCTTTCCACACAGGACCACCGCCGCGCGCGACACACCCTGCGGCGGCTTTTGCCTAAGCAAAACAGGGGGAGGAAAGATTTGCGGCGTGCATTAGATGTTAAGACAAGTCAAAATCAGGGAGACGCTGGAGACCGCCCGTGCGAAAAGACCGTCTCCCCTTCTACCACATCGAAGAAGACGGATTCGAAATAGCTTTCCGGAAACGGCTTTTTTTTCATGTGATCGTTTTAGAGTTCCCTTCAAGCATGCTGACTACCTGGAACTCTTTCTTTCTTTCGTTCCACTTGATTAACATTTGAAATTAACAAGAAACGGGAAACGTGCGTAACGTCTGCTGGCAGCTGTGTTAAGGGCCGGTCATACCTTGACGCGATTTCAGTCGCATGCGATTTGGCAATTCGCCAGAAGTGTTCAAATCCAACACTAGCAATTGCACATGCATAGTGTGTATAACCGAATGTATTGCTAAATTGCCCGATCTTTTGTACATTTAAAATGTGCTTACAGTAGGTTATGGACAGTTGGAATATTGCCAAATCGCGTCGCGACTGAAATCGCGTGAAGTATGCCCGGCCCCTATAAAAAATGTTCATGTAAAAGCTGATGTGGGGACCTTAAACCCTACACACACGATGCATATTTTCGATAGACGATTTTAGAGGGGGTCGGTTTTATAGGGTACTTACGAAGCGACAATTTTTGGAGCCCGCCCAGTGCATAAATATTTTTTGCACTTTTCAAGAAAAACGATATTCTATAGACTGCCCTTACATCATCCACCGAACGCAGTACAGCTCGTTTCGCCAAGAGGAGGATACGGTATCTGAACAGAGCCATCCAGCAGATAAAGCAGAATGTGATGCGTACGCAGGCAGCGAGGAAGGGGACTGAGAAAGTGGGAAGATAGAGCGAGATAGGAAGATGAGGAAGAAGAAAAGCTCTATATGTTACGTACCCAGACGCATTTGTTTTGAGTGAAAACAATCTACATTTTTTAAACCCTTCAGACCCATTGTCTAGGCGGAACCGAGTCAGCTAATGTTGCTTATATGTAACCAGTGCGTCACCTCTGCTTCGCAGAGGCTCGCACAGCTTCTACTATCCACATCCTTCCTTCTTCGTAGTCGCGAACTCATGGCTTTGAAACTTACCATGCGATGCCGATCATCACAAATGAATCGTAAACAACCACTCATTCTAAAAGCTTTTTCGTCTATGATCGGTGACTTCGAGGGAAAGAAAGTTTTCTCCAAAAGATCAAATGCGAGTTTGAGTCAATTACTGGAGGTGTAATGGCTTAATAGTCGCCAGAAGGATGATGACAACCGTAAGTTACACCACTGAACAAAAATCTTCTCTGATCCTTGGGTAAAACCTTGACAAATCGACTGTCTACGCAATTATTCCTTTTTGGCGCCAGTCTTGCGTAAAAGCAGATTTTTGCCCAATTTTCGGGCCGGAGTCCATGGTTTGCGGATTTACTTTCAAACAAATCCACGACTTTGAAAAAAGTCTAAATACAGGCCCACTTTGGCGCGCCAAAAGTTGCGTGGACCCGCTTGGCGCACTGTTTCCAATGGTTCCTCCCATCGGATCGTCTTCTGCTTTTGCTCAGTTGATTTACATGCTGATAGGGTGCCATGGCCAAAATTCTAGCTCAAAGCTTTTGCTGGAACCTGCTCTATGAATTTCGTGAAAGACAGACATTCAGACACACACACACACAAAAACACGCAAACAACCCTTAGCCCGTTATTATAAGTTATGATAGACGGGAAATCTAACAGGATATTGTATTTCCATTATAGACTTCAGTGCACTCCATTAAAATTTTGGTGCGCCAATTTTCTTTGTTTCCTTTGCTGCGTACCATCATCATAACATCACCACTTTCGGCTAAAAACTTATCAGATCAAGGAGTTAGGCACTATAGGTGAGAAGTCCTCTTACGCTCACATAAGCTTCTAGACTTAAGATGGTAGAAAAAGAATTCACTGAAAGCCTTTTGAGGAAGAAAGCATGGACAAGAGGTCACAGAATACTGCCTTTAGTTTCGAAAGCCGAGTACAATATCGCTAATAATTTGTCGAATCACCAACTTCAACCGAGTTCACCGAAATCCGCGTCGCACGCCATATACAGGGTGTCTCAAAAAAACGTTAACAATGTTTGATCGTTAATAACTCCTTTGCTTTCAGTCTTTCGCCGAGATTGAGGCATTATTCTGTAAAGCGAGATTCAATTTAGATATACGGTATGGAGCCGATTACCGTTCGCTCTTCGTTACTGTGGGATTACGGTTAGAACCTCCAGCGTGTGGAACCGTTGTGAGAGATGCCATCTAACGAAATTTTTTTCAAAAAAAAATCGTGAGCTAGCGTTTTCGCGCATGCTGATTCCACTGCACAACTTTCTCCGAGTGTTTTCAGCTTTTTTGACAGCGTAAACACACTTTCGACACATGCAAGGAAGTCAGCAATACAGTTTACCTAGGATAACTTTGAAAAGAAACATCACAGTAAAGCGAAATTTTCATATTCGAAATCAGCGGCTTCCATTACCATAGTACAAGAGATTTTGGCTTGTTTGGTTTCCTTTCCAGGGCGAAAGGCGACTCTTATTGCCTGAAACCCTCTCCAAAGTTCCTACCGTATTCCTACAGTAATGAATGGAGATCGGAGTTTCGCTTCATACTGCAAATCTAAGTTGAAGCCAGCTCTACAAAATGGTGCCTCAAGCTCGGCGAAAGACATGAAAGCAAGCTAGTTATTGACGATCATACAACATTTTTTGGGATACACTGTATTGGTTCACAGTGGATGATCTCAATCCAAGGGCAGCGCGCTTAACTCAGCTCGGCTAAACGCAATTTTTGCTATATGGAGGCGCCGCTGACTACAATAGGCGATCAGATTTCATAGATTTTTGCTACGGTGGGTTACTAAGGGTGAATAAGAACACTAGGTAACTTACCATAAACAAAAACCTGAAAAAATCTGAAGAATTTAGTTGTCCACCGTGCGGCTGCTATGTTCAAGCAGGTGCATTTACATATCAGAAAATGTATCTTGTCGAGCAGAGTCGAATAGTGCCCTATGAACTTACAAACCATCCATTCTGGAATGATATCCACGAAAGTCCCCGCGAAATGGGCTTTTCGTGCGAATAAAATGGACTTAGTCCATGCGGTGCGATAAGATATCGCATTCGCGAATCCATTCATTCCATACAAAACTTCTTCAGCAACCCTTTCTTCAACTTGTCTCAACCTGTTTGCTCACTCTTGCAAACTCATTTCCACCAAGTGGTCGATATTTAACTAGGCTGGCCTAACATTACAATGTTACTCAAGTGGCTATTCTAATCTTTCCCACTTCGTTACATCTCATAGAATTCCATTCATTATCGATGACTTTGCATCTAAATCACTCCAAGACTAGAATTCATGTAATATCCGGGCCTCCGCTTCAAAACTTCTACGAATCAGCATTAAGTCGAATTCGTATGTGGAGATTTCTGCAAAAAGCAAACTTTGGCTGGAGCTGCACTGCAATCTGTGAACCAAAATGCTCCTTACAAAAAACCTTGTACTACATTACAACTCAAAGGGTTTTTCAAGTCGCAAAAACTTTGAATCCCAAAAGATGACTTCGCAAGTGCCCTATATTAGCTTTTCTTTGTCTTTCAGTACTAATATTTATAACTCTAAGCAGTTGAATGTATGGACTAATCTAGTAAGAAATTTTTCACAGAATTTCTCTAGCTAGCTAGCGGCACTTCAGTAATTCTTGCGGACCAAACTCAAAATTGCGTTTAAACTGCCGTCTCTGAGGTTCGGTTCTACGAAATTAGCCAAAGATAGCTTCTGAGTAATTACATTGAAGTATAATTTTTTTCAAATTTTAGATTGCAAATCATGAATTTGGTTTTGGTTGATGATTTGAAGAGTTAACAAACTTTATTTGATTTACATAAGGATTTTCTGATTGACCTGATATTAAGAAGCATTTGGGTTTGTTAGCGAATATTTGGGTGAATTTAATCTTCTTCTATGTTTTTATAGCGTTTCTATGAGTTTAGAAAGAAACACTTATCTCAGACTTCATAAAAGACATGAAGCTTTTTCCACTCACCTATTACCTTAGGATAGGTTGAGGAACACATTCCCAAAAAATCGCAATCAAAAATATGCAAAAAGGTCAAAAATGGGCTTAGTCCCAGCTCACCTTGCTGGTGGGAGTAAAATGGGCTTTCAAGTCCATTTAAAATGGAGGTAAATTCCATTTTGCCCCATTCTAAATGGACTTTTGACGTCATCATTTCGCAAGCGAGAGCTCAGGTAGGGCTAAATCATTTTCATTTCACCGCTTTGCCTCATGGTTGCGATGGGATGAAAATTTTTGGATAACGCGAGCGAAAGCAGATTTCGACCACTCTTCACCGCGAACGAATAAAATGGGGCTTGAAAGTCCATTTTCCTCCATTATGGACTTTCGTGGATATCATTCCTGGACCAAATTATGATGATGCGACGGGAATGTCAAATGCCGGTGAAATTCGGTAACCTTTGACTAATTATAGGCGTATTATATGCTTTTTTTTTTCAACTCAATCAGAATGTCAAAATTATCTCGTAACTTTGAAAACGCTAAGGGCATAATGCGCAAGAGGGCCAAAGTTGGAGTTCTGCATTATCAAAGTATTGTACAAGTAAGCGATGACACTGTGATAATCATGAAAGACGTGCAGAAAACTTGCTTGTAATAGTCCTGTGAGGATGAGGATGTTGTCGGGTGGCACACAACAGTAAAATGAAGCCAATTTCTATCATCGCTGTTTGAAAGCTGTCTTTACAGGTATATTCCAATCTGACATGTTGCAGTAGGATTGCGACCACATTGAAACATGACGTAACTTGTCAATATCATAATAACTATCGGTTTCAGCTTTGGGGCACTGCTACTCGGAGTGATTGGATTTGGGACTGAAAAGATAGACGAAGAAAGGGAGGATGAGAAAGAAGAGCAAGAAAGGCCGTTTGTTGGATTTGGGCTTCTTTCCCTCGATAGCATTCGGTTCGACCTACATAGTAATTGTAAACACATTAACAGAATTTTTACAGTAAGTGGAGAGTGCTCCGCTTTCGTATCTTATGTTGGAACCACCCTCCCTCAAACCTAGAAATCTCATTCCAGTTGTTGTTGATCAAATCAGACTCTCAATCATGTCATGTTATATACAAAGGACGAGGCAAAAAAGTTTGAAGAAATTAGTTTTTGGTTACAAGCACGTTACCTAAGTTTTGCGTTTCCTATACTTTTCCTGTGAGTGGAGACTCAAAGAAATGAAGTTGTGTACTCTCAGTTTTTCCCTTGTGCAGAAGAAATTTTTGAAGAGTGATAGATGTACCTAGTAAACAAGGTGACGTGCGGCCTTTTAAAGTTTGGTCGCTGTAAAGGCTAGTTTAGATTTTATGGGATATGAGAAAAAAGGTTTGAGATCTCTACTTATGAGCTTCTCCTTTTCAAGGAAATATGGATTGTGTGAAAAGGTCCAATTTTTTGTGACATCTTTTCCCACAAAGACCAAAGCAAACTTGGAACTTGGAATGAACTAGGCGACTTGTGGTCGTTGATAAATAGTTTACACTTGATTTCTCCCTATCCGCTAAATGGTAGCGTTTAACGTACCAACGAATCTAATTCGTTGTCAGCATCAATGTTCATTTCCCATTTTGTGGGGATGGCCAACAGATCAAATTAGACACTCATGAATAAGTCGTCGGTTACTGTGGTTCTCTAGTTGAAACATGAAGCATAGCTTAACTTATCTAGATTTTCGTAACTTGTAAGAATGAGAGCTTTTGGGTCACTCTGCTTAATCGATATGGCTTTTTAGCGCATAAAAAACCAGACTTTCTCTGTTCCTCTCTCAAAAAATATGGAACCCGCAAGGTGTCAGGGGATGCCTGTCTGTTGATTATGATAAGATTAATACTGCAACAATGAACACTTGTTTGTATGCTTTCAAATCCCTTTCTTTGCTGCTTTGTCGAGCAAGACAAAGACTGTAAGCTATCAATGCACTCAGTAAATTATGTTTGCATAATTGGGCAAAATGAAGGGCAAAGAAATTTTTTAGCAGCAATGTAGATGCGCACACGCAATTTTTAGCCCTAACTGATCAAAAGCATTTGGTGTATTCACCAAACAATGTGACTTCCTAACATCGGTTTTTTCTATTAGTACAGAATAAGGAGTTTTCTGTAACATAGAATTGCTAACCATCGTCACTTTTCCCAAAATCTCTTTCTTCATTGTAAATCAATCACTGCCTTTCGGAATCAGGTTTTTACCGATGTCTTATCAATTTGCCTTTCGCATTGATGTCTGGAGTGCTGGAAAAGGAAGATATGGTTCGTAATCAAAGAAAATGTCTCTGTCTGATAATGTGGAGACAATGTTTGTTATTTGCACTTGGGAGGTTTGCGTATCGAGATTTCGATAGCCCCCAAATCATCAAACTCATCATTTCACATTCGAACGTCCTTACGTAACTTCTCAATCATTATTTTAGAATCATGACATTCTATGACTTGAATCGCTTTCACCTCATTGTCCTGTCAACATGGCTTGTTGGGGTATTCTTCGGGGCACAAATGCTTTTTGCTATATTTTCCAACTATTTGCCAAAGTGGAAGTGCGGTTTGTTTCACTGTTTAATTAAACAGATATACTTTTTTGGTGTCCATTTTCATTTATTTTCTTTAGGTGATGGGCCACTAACTCGAGATTGTAATGTTTACAAAACGTGCAGGGAAAACTTGACCTTTCATGATAATTTCTTTCAATCTGCAGCTGTTGAGTAAGTTTCCTCTCAATTCATGTTCTACTCTTTGGACGGGATATTACAGATTTGATTGGGTCTGCAACGAGAAAACTTATCTAATGTCAGCATTTTCACAGGTTCAATTTTTTGGGGTTCTCATTGGTCAGTTTATGAACATCGGAACAAACTCAAGATATAGCGCTTGACTTATGTCTGTATGAAACTTGCTGTTTCAGGAACATTTCTGTTTGGGACCCTTGCTGACATATTTGGTAGGAAACCAGCAGTGTTATTTACGCTGACTGGGGGATTTCTCGCCAGTATCCTTTCAGGTATCATTTTGGTATGCTTATGGTAGCACATCTTACGCTCTAAAAATGCTTTGTCCGAGCTATCATTAACGCCTGCTGCCCTAAAATAAAGATTTATCTCCTCCCTTCCCCCCCCCCCCTCCCCCCTTCCTCCTCAGTAGTATGAGCCTTAAAGGCAGCGGCTCGGCAAATTTTCAACTTCGGGGTTTTAACAGATTTGGGGTTATTCCGGCTTCCTGAATCGCGACATGACCTCCCCTTAGCGCGAAAATGGGGAAAACCACGTCTTCCGAAACTCCCCTTGAGATGGGCGCGGGCGACTGAGCCGTTTTTCTCTGCCGTCAGAGACGCAGAGTAAGGAGTTAGAGAGCGCTAGAACAATTCTGCCCTACGAAGCTACGAGTGACGGCGCGTTTTCTAGCGGAGAACACACTCGTCCGGATAAGGTGTTAGGGGAGCGAAAAAGGAAGGGGAGCGGCGGTTGGGCCGCCTCTCTGGCTTGCAGAGTTCAAATTTTCGGCGCGCAGTTGTTGTTTTGGTTCACTTGAAGGGCTTCCTATCTATCTGTGTCAAAATCTGAGGTAGGTTCGTTCTGCCGAGACGCTGCCTTTAAGACTCGGCAGCAGCCACATATTGAAAATTGTGCAAATGCCCTTGCAGCCCTGAGCCCCTTCTCTAAAAGAATTTTTTGAATGCTCCTGAAGCTTGCGACCTAAAATTTGAAATGGAGCATGCATAGACTTCTGCGAAAAAAAATCAAAGAGCCGTGCTAATCATTGAAAATGGCAATATCGCGAACATGAAATGTTTGTTTCGAAGTTCATGAACACTACTTCCCAGTCTTTTCGAAGAGTGAAAACAGGGAAGTCTATGATGTGTTAAGCAACTCGTGCGAAATTTTCGATTTCCACGAAAACTGAAAGCATCATTTCACAATTTGTTACCTGGTCGAAATCTTGTTGAAATCCAAGACTTAAGATGGAGTTTGAGACACTCCTAAATTAGAAACTTTCACATTCTGCGATACTTCACTCATGGCTCGACACGATTGTGCGAATTCAAGCCAAAAATCATTTTAGAAAAAAAATCGAGGATGTTTTGTATTACAAGTACAAGTCCAAATGCTCTGCACTCCCTCAACATTGTCACACTCTGACGTGCACGAATACGATCTTGCTCGTGCGTCGCCTTCAAAAATCCAAATTTCTATCATTAACGTGTATCTAACTCTGCCTTCGTTTGCAGCGCACATAAAACGATGTGAATCGGATACAGTGTATAAACGCAAGAGCAGAGGAGCATAGTGTGTGAGAAATTGTATGGCTGTTGTAGCAAGCTTTTTCTGAACTTGTATCAATGAAAAGTAAAAAATGATTAATTGCAGCGCAACGATAGCGCTCCACATGTTGCATGTATATGCGCAATAAAGAGTGAGAACAAAGTAAGAACTTTGTAGAAAACCATCTGAATCAAAGCGCGCTTGTTTTTTCCATTAGGGGCAACCTAATGCCAGCCTGAGAATGGCGAACTCTCAGTTTGTGCACAAGTTCTTTCTAAATCTATATAATACAAAAAACTCTAAGTGTGTTTGTCTGTTAATAAGTATGTTTTTTATATAAATCTGTCTGAGTGCACCAAATGAGCTGAAACTTTGCATAATTATGTTTTCGACCCCGGCGCAGGACATAGGCTACTTTTCGCGGCGATTTACTGGACCTTTCTATTGATTTGTTGATTTGTTTACTTACATCTGGCAAAACGAGGCTTGACATTTAACCAATCATTTTGCCATGATCATGTAGTCAGGAATGCAAAAGTTCATTGTATTCTCAATGTCGGGAAGATGCGGGCAATTCGTTTCAAAGCCCTTTTTGCACAGAAGAAGCTCAAAAGCGTAAGTACAAGTATTCTTCTTAGCTAAACTGGAGGCGAGGCCCGAGTGAAACCGGGACCACCGGCTACTCATTCATAAATTTACTCTACCCCTGGAGTTCATTATATACTAACATTTTTGGTTCAAAACTTTCTCCGCTTTGCTGAAATCCGAACCAGCGACGAGGCTGGTGTCCTCGGAACGAAGCGCGTTCCAACTGAAAGATTCACGTGAGCTGGCCGGTAAAGTGGGAAAATGCTGAATTCGAAGGCGGCAGGGACAAAATCTTTTTTAGGTGTCCATATGCCAAACTCTTCCGAGCCCTGACTTCAATACAGTATGTTTCGCCCTTTTAAAGAGCGATAGATCCCACAGTCTTGTGGGCGTCCTGCGCATGACAGAGATTGTGGGATCTATCGCGTTTTGAAAGGGCAAAATACACTGTAATGAAATCAGGGCTCGGAAGAAACCGTTACATGATGCGCAGCGAATACAATAATACAAGTTAGAACCAAAAACAAATTGAAACTTTCAGGATTTGCCTCAACTTGGCAAGTGTTACACTCCCTTCGCTTTTTCGTCGGTCTTTTTATTGGGGGTGTCATCGTCACTCTTAGCACATATGTAACGGAGCTAATACTTCCTCAACAGCGGATGGTAATGCGAGGGGTATTCAACTGGGTATGTAGTTAATCTACTGAAGATTCTGGAGAAGATTTTTGTTTAGGGAATAGCACGCATTATTCTAACCTCCACATGCATGCTTTTTCCTGAGTGGAGAGCTGCCACCATTGCCTGCGCTGTACTCTTGATTCCTGGTTTACTTAGCATTTTTTTTATCCTTCCTGAAAGTCCAACGTGGTTGCATAACAAGGTTCCATTTATGCAAATTTGGATTTGATAAAAAAGCTTTACTCAGGACCGACTGGAGCAGATGCGTGAAGCAGAGCGTTACATAGCAAGATTTGCAGGAGTTGAATATGTTCTAGTAGAACATAAGGCTATCGACCATGTGAAGGTTAATTCGCTAATTTGTTAACCCCTGCTATAGATCGCGTATTTAATTGGAACGGTTCCAAAGCCATTATCATGAAACAAACTTTTTTACCTTCATTTTGTACAGAGAAAACACCACTTTAAGAAGTGTTTGCCCTGATTACACCGTAATCTTTAACTTAGACTTTCTGCGAAATGGTGAAGACACCGGGGCTTTTCCGACGACTTGTTGTTTTGTGGTTGATGTGGTACGTCGCATCATTCTGTGCCTATGGAAACGACCTCAACTCGAACACCATCTCAGGCCATCTCTTCGTTAACCAGTTTCTGTTCGCAATTTTAATCACCATATCAAAATGGGTTGGTGCTATTCTCACTTTCTGAGCAATCGTATTGCTCTTGGTAGCGTTCATTATAGAATGTTTAGTTTCAAAGATTTGAGTAACGAACATCTCTCCGTTACAGATTTTATTGGCAGTGGACACCTGCTACCCCTCATTTAGTAGAAGGACTCTTCACCAAGGAGCGCAAGTTGTAGTTTGTGCTTGTTTCTTGGTCCTAAGCATTCTACTCATGCAGGAGTATCAGGTGAGTCTGTTTTGCTAGTAATCGAGCTTTTTCCAAACAGAAGCTGGCAAACCCTGCTGTGGCAGAGGCCCCTAAAACATTGTGATGAAGATTGTCGAACAAATTCTGTGCAACATGTACACCCTGTCCCACTATGCCAGTTTCCTGCCCACACCATGTTTTCGCTTTCGCCATACGCTTTCCGTGTACCAACTACCAGCGCCTTAAAGGCAGCGGCTCGGCAGATTGACCTACCTCAGATTTTGACACAGATGGATAGGAGGCCCTCCAAGTGAACCAAAACAGCAACTCCGCGCCGAAAATGTGAACTCTGCAAGCCAGGAGGGCGGCCCAAGCGCCGCTCCCCTTCCTCCTTTCGCCCCCCTAACACCTTGTTCGGACGAGTATTCTCCGCTAGACGGCGCGGGACCCCCCAACCGCTTTCCCGCGTTGTGCATGCTATACAAAGCCAAAATTACAGGCAGCAGGGTCTTCGTGCCAGGGCCTCCCGACTTTCCTGAAAATTCTCTCCGAGCTGTCTTTTGGAACTTGAAAAAAATGCCCCGAAAAGGGCCTTTTCACCGCTTTTAAAGCTCAGATTCGGGATCTACGGGTCAAGAAGGCCCAAAACATGCAAAAAGATGGAAATGCAAAATCTGCCGAGTCGCTGCCTTTAACTCGAAGTTTGTAAAAAAACACACAGTCGATGAAGGTAATCTATAAGTCTGAAAATCGGATTGCATTTGTTATTTGCCAGCTCACTTGCCCGTTATTCAGTCTGCCTACTCCCAGCGCTGAAGCTCAAAGTTTGCAAAAGAACTTGAAAACCGATATCAGTCGATAATAAAAAGTGGTTTCGATCCGCCCGGTATATGTGCGTGCAAAGGGCTGAAATCGTTCAGAAATGGGAAATAATGAAGTACGGTTTATAACTGTACAAACGCCCTTTATTTGGAGGGTTGGGCTAACTGGAAAAATCGTAAAAAACATCAATGCTATATAAAAAAGCATAGCCGAAAACAGTCTATCAGCACAAGAATGAGAATGGGTGTCAAGCCTAGAAATGGATTGCACGCCAAACACAAATTTTTAGAATTTTACAGTCATACGAACACCTCAAGCCACCTCCTTCTTCCACTCCAAACAGCAGCCTTTTGCATTAGACATTTTTTGTAAGGGTACAGCTGCATATTTCGATTTTGAGATATGCTGCACACCGCTCCAGTTCAAATTGAAAAGAAGAGCGTTCAGCTTCTCCAAGAGCAAAAAACGCTGCATTCAGTACGCTCAGGGCAAGGCACGAGGTGGGCAAATATCAATATGGAGATTGTTTTGGATGAAAAGCAAAGAGGATATTGCAAATAGACGTACCCTTTGATTCAACGGGACGACGCAGTCTGCGCCTCTCTTACGCGAGTGCTCTCTGATCATTCTCTAGCCTTGATTAGGCTTCCAAGCCCCGCCTTCCTGCGATCAGTCCTGTCGAAACAAAGGGTATACATGTACTACACTCTCTCGACAAGTTGCTACATGACTGATATGCAAAAAGACGATCTTGCTTGCATCATCTTTTTCCATTAAGTTGTAATTTACCCATTGATGACGAGGTGGACCACCGGTAGCCCACGCCTTTTTCCTTCCACGGACGATGTGGACCGCCGGTGGTCTACAGCACTTGCAGTGGCATATTCTTTCCAGGTCTAACATTTTTTTTGCGAATTTTTGCTTTGAAAACTCGGGTATACTACGGGGCTTTTGGAAACCGTAAACACCGTCGTCAAAAAATGCTCGTAGCTGTTCACAAAATAGACCTACATCTCGCAAATAGCCATGGAAAATACAAAGCTTTCATTCTGTCGAAAATATCGTAAATGTGACTTCTAAGCTTGCACTGTGAGATATTTAATTGTGAGGTTTACGAATACAGAACATTTTTGATGACCGCGCAATACTAGTGGGTTAGTAGGAATACGGTAGGAGCCTTAACACCACGCCTCGAAATTTACATTACGGGTATTCAAAGGTGCTGGTGCACTATGAGTTATCAAAAGTTGCTTATTACGAACACAATACTCATTTTTGATGGCAAGCCTAGAACGGTAAGAATACGATAGGAAACTGAATACCACGGATTTGCCCAACTTTCACTATGGGGTATTTATTTCATGAGTGAATTACGCCGAACTATCATCGTGCTCTATATCTAGTGAGAAGAAAAAATGCCTTTGACGGTATTTGGCTCTGATGACAGCATGACATCGCGCTTTTGACAGTTCTATAAAAAAATATACAAGGAGTAAGTTACTGTAAGCTAAAAGCAAACGTTTAAATTACATGAAGATGACCATCTACCATTTTGTTAGGGAATTCCCGGTACACCTCGCATTTCTTATGCGTCTCATCAAAGTAATCACAAAAATGCCTATAATATGAACTGCATCTCGTAGAAGGAGTGGGTTGCTCAACCGATCGCTTTCATCCGTGAATTTCATCATTTGGCTCTGGATCTGCTGTGCATGGCTCAATCTTATCCCAGCAACTAGCTTTCCATCACGATTTCGTCGGCGGAAAGCTGTCGTTTCAATTGAGATTGTTTAATTGTTGGTATGCCAACCATACCTCCATGCCGTCACTAATGCGTTCTGCTTCGTATCAATTCCTTAGCAAGGCAAATGCTAGAGTTTAATTGCTTTTCCTTCCCCAGTTTCAATCGAGCAAGATGTCCATTGATGTCCGAACTGAAATGTAACAATCCGTTCTAATGACTATTTTCCAGCGTAAATTTTTTTATACTCAGTGCGGCCACCTTTGCAGAAAAATTTGAGAGTTCGATACCATGACAATGCACTCCCATCTACCCGTTCCACTGGAATATTCATAATCTAAAAAATATATTACTTCACTCAAGAAGCAAAGGATCCTATTTAGGAGCAGCCTTCATTCGCGTGCAAAAATTGACAATGTGATACGCTATATGACAGAAAAAAGCTCTTATCGCACCTCGCATTTCTTATGCGAGATGAAACGCTTGTGAGACCAATCTGCGGAGTAAAACCTTCAGTATAGACCGCATCTTGTACCTGCATCGGCGTTGTTAGCAGCGAAGACAGCCCAAACGTTTAAGCCAAGTTTTGCAGTGAGTTGTGCATCTTCCTCTCTGACCACGGTCCTCCGACAGCTTATGCCGCGTTGTCAAGAAGACTTTTTTCCTAGCAGCGCTTCAACGATGTCCATCTTGGAGTCATTTAGCTTGGTTTTCTATATCGCATTACAGAGTTTACCATGGCGGTTTTCAACATTAGGCGCCGCTTCAAGAACCTCATCGGATAATGTAGCGAGTATTGTTGATAAAATGTACTCCCTGTAGATAAGCCGCTCTCGAGACGGCACTACCCATGCGCAGATGTGTGAAAGCACAAGGCGCCATTGAACAACAAAGATTATTACTGTAATCTTGGTCCAATACGAGAAAGAAAGTAAATAAGGACGTTGGCAGGACGCTACATGATCCTTTAATAGCGCAATTAGTGAAAACATACACAAAACATTAGTTTCTAAATGTCAGGAAAAAGAAACAAGAGCGCAAGACTCGGATGAAGTATGCAAATGGAAATGCAATTGTGAAAGAAGGCAATTTTTTGAACATGATCACAAAAAACGTAGCTGAGAGGTAAGAGGGGTACGAGATTTCCAATGCAGGTACAATGGGCGAAAGTTGTGACTTGCAATATCCTCCTTGGAGTTGCAAAGCACGTTTTATTGCGGATTTCCATTAGTGTTCTGCAGAAGCGAAAAAAACTTTACCTTGGAGTGACGCGCGAAGTTGAAAATTTGATAAAGCGACCCCAGCCACACTATCTGCAGTTGGTTGCTTGATCTAAATAACATGAAGAAATAAGGAAAACGACGCGAACATTTACGAAAACGTACGAAAACGCGACCAACATGCAAAATGTGTGTCACGAGGGACGGTGGAACACCGGTACCCCACATCGAAAGTTGCCTAAATTCTTTTTCAAGTAAGTGGGCGATCGCCTACCTAATGTCCGCCTAAGGTAGGCAAAACTTCATTTCACATAAGTTTCCCAAAATTCTTACAAATTTTTACATTTTTAAATCTGGTCTACACTTAAGTCTAGTTTATAGCAACATTTTGGTCCCAAAACTCTATCCTTCTTGTTAAGATCCGGAAAAGCAACGACGCGGATCCTTGGGGGAAAAAGATACTCCAATCGAACAACTTTCGCAGCTGGTAAAATCAAGTGAAAAATTGTAAAAAATGATAGCAGCAAAGGCGAAACCGTTTCACGTCTGTCCGTTAGCCACCCTCGTGCTGTGCCCTGAAAGCGCTTTGAAACGTTTTTTTTGCTGTTATTCAAGAACTTTGATCAGCTGTACTAAAGGGTGAAACGATAGAGCTCTTTAGTTGAATATGTTGGTGACCTCCTTGAAAACTTTGTGTTTGTTGATCTTTTTGATAAGATCTCGAATTTATCCCAAAGTTGGCACACTTTTATTTCTTGAAAGTTAGCTCTGTCTTTCACGAAGCTTTGTGATAAAACAAGTGCAACAAGTGCATTGTTTGTGTGATAATGTATGTGTCAGAGTTTTTGTGTTTTCAGAGAATTCGAGGTTTTTTAAACTGAAAGGCAAGAAAAAATTTGATTGCATTAGTATAAATGACCATTCTTGCAAGATGACGCCCAAGAATATTATATTTTAATACTTTTTAGAAATTCAACTTACTGAAAAAAAAATTTCAGGGCGCGTCTGCCGCCTTTTCCTTAGAATTCCGGGTTTTGGATTCACGAAAAATTTGGAAAAGCATCCCAAAAAAATTTTTCGAAGTGCGTATGTCGCGCCCCTCCCCCGAACCAAAATCCTGGGACCGCTGCCGCTATGTGCTTATGTTATCAAGGACATTGCGGACGGTAGAAGCCGAATGTTGAGGCCAAAAAGTGTGCTAACTCTTGAGGAAGATTGAGATTTGGCCAAAAAACTCCACAGTACACAAAGATTTCACGTGCACAAACAACATATCCGTGCTGAAAGCTTGCGTTATTTCAAATTTTTGCTATCTTTGAGCTAATTAGAGTCTTCGGATCACAGAAAGCATGCGTTTTTGGAGCCACTGAATGCAGAAGCATTTTTCGCTTCTGAGGAAATTGCTTCTCTTTTCCAACTGTTTGAATACACCGTGCTACAGATATCTCAAACTTTGCAGCTGTATTGTAAGAAAAACTTTTGTATGCAAAAAATGGCGGCTTTGAGTGAAAAAGGACCTTTGCTTGAGATATCCGTATGATTATGAACTTCTCAAAATTCGTATTCGGCGCAATTTCCCGTGACTGATATCGATTTTTCTTTTGTGATGCTATACCATTTCGGCTGTACCCTTTCCAATAGCACTAACCGTTTTTTAAGTTTCTTCCAGAAAGTCCCGAAACTCTTGAATAGGGGGTGTACATAGAATCGTGGATAGGACATTATCATACGTACGGGCAGCCGCACAGATGGACAAGAATATGCACCACATGAGGTTTGCTCTAACGGTTTTGGGGATTTGTAAATCCATTCAAAACAAAACTTGCAATTGTCTCAGACTTTAGTCGTATATCCACCCCCAGAATGCGCAAGTTTTTCGTTGTTTTGGAGTGAAACATTGAAAATAAGCAAAGTTATGGCTTTAGATTCTAAGTGTAAGATAATTTCAGAATAAGAAATTTGACCGAACCAATCTGTTTGTCGACTTATCTGCTGATACATATGCTATCACCATTATGTAGTTTTCATTACCTCATCATAGAAATTAAACGACAACACTCTAGAAGCAGTATATTAGCAATATACAAACTGAATGGCGAAAGCAGAAAAGGGTTGCAGTGCAGTAACAAACATAGACCAACTGTTGCGGACGTTAGAAAGGAGGAGATATCAATACAACTGTGCAAGCGAGCCGCTATATCCCTCACATGACACATATTGTTGTATCCAAACAAGCAGATTTATACACGCACTCCGGCAGAGGAAGTCCGACTACGATTACAGCGAACATAGTGTGGGCCAATAGCGGCTGCTAGCGCTCCCGACCATTTGATTCTAACAGCGACTCACTTGCTTGAGAAGCGACGCCCATCGTATGTTAACGTGACAACGCATCATCGAGATTTGTGAGTAGCAACATCAAGTGTATGTACCTGTAGCATGAGTCAACCATTCTTACGCAGCGGCTAATTTTTTCTTGCAAAATATTGCTTACATATATTTCAATTGCTCCACATTAAATGCTATATCATACACACAAGAGGATATAAAACTTGAAAAGAATAGTTTTTTCTTGAATGATGTCTTTTCAGGGAGTCGGCATACTCCTTGTAAACTTGATCGGATCTGTGTTCATTGAGTACACATGGGATGCGTGCTTTCTTTGCGTGCTTGAGTCTATAGAGACATCGTGTCGAGCTAGTGGTGTTGGCAGTTGCTCCTTAATGGCCAGAGTAGGCGCGCTGTCAGCACCTTTTGTGAGTTTTTTATGCCTGTAACAATTGAACTTACAAGAAAAGCTACCTAACTTAGCTCGGCCCTTTGGCAAGGGCCATATATATTCTGAATCAATCTCAAATGCTGATTCAAAGTCTGCTATTCTTAGCTGTCCGAGCACCATTCCGAAGCGAGTTATGGGTATTTTCCTGCGCAAAATTGGCATACTTATCGAATCATTAGCATCACGGCATTAACACCTAAGTGCCAATACACTTGCTTTAAGCTTCTTTTTAGTGAGAAAAGATTGGATTTGTATTATTTCGACATCTCAGCACCTTTTTCGTGCAGATTTTTATCTACAGGCAGTCATTCCATGTTTAGTGGTATGCTAATACCACTAAACAGGGAAAAGCCCATAACTTGCTTCGGAATGGTGTGTGGCAGCTGGAAATATCATATATGGAGTCAGCGTTCAAAGATGATTCGGAACATATAAAGGGTGTCAAAAAATGTACTCACTGTTTGATTGTAAATAACTCTCTTGTAATGAAGTATTTTGGGAAGCTCAGGTACCATTTTGTAGAGCGAGGTTCAACTTAGATTTACAGTATAGAGCGAGTCACCGACTGCTTTTCATTACTGTAAGATTACGGTAGGAACTCAAACATTTGGTGTCACTGTGGAAAGAGCTGCGGTTTCAAAAATTTTCAAATAAATATGAAAAATTGTGTAATTGGGTTTCCATGGACGTCGAGTTCAATACTCAATCAACTATGTACAAGGTTGCGTAACTTTCTAAACGGTATGATTGCAATTTCCGGGAGCATTGGAAAACGGTCGGTACTGCTCACCTCGCATAACTTTTTACTGAAGCATTATGATAAGCTGCGAACTTCACATTTAGAATCAACAACTCTAATTAACCCCATGTGAAACTTTTCAGATTGTTTTGTTTGCTTTCGGAGGCAAAATATGGCCTTTCATGGCTCAAAACCCTCCTTAAAGTTCCTACCTATACCCGCAGTAATGAATTGAGTAATTGCAATTATTTATTTATTTATTTCAATACACTCATGGTGTGCCTAAATGAGAAAAAGAAGAATTAGACAAAGCAACTATGAACAAAACGAGAATCCAACCAGTCTCAATCGCAGGAGTTAAAAAAAATAGAGAAATAGAAGAACAGGATGAAAGAACCCATTCCCCAGACCTACCAAGACGTTCAATCACTTAAAAAAGTCAAGCTGCGAACGACCTTTATAGACTGTATAGAATCCAAATCTTGCTCGCTCTAAAATTATTGTGGCCCACCCCGTCATTTGAGTGTCAGCGAGCCTGCGGGTAAAGCTAGCTGACTGGCCCCCAGTAAAGATCTATTTTAGAGGGGAGCAAGATCTATTGAACATCTAGATAAACTTTTCAAGGAGAAGTGGCAGGGCATGGGGCTAGGTAGCTGTGATACAACGCCATCAGAAAACCCCTTGTTGATAAGACTGGTTGGTTCACGGTCAGCAAAAACATGGTCAAAACAACTACTACAGAGATGAATGGTACCATAGATGTACACTCATTCTAATAAGAGGCAAAAAAAATTGAGGATAAATGGCAGAAAAGATAAGCTTAATAGTCCGTAAACTCAGTTTGAAAAACGATATAAAATTTTGTAGTAACACAAAGCTCGAAATCACGCCAGAACTAGCACGACGACCTGAAAAAAAAAACAATATCGAGATAAACAGAACACTAAAACAAAAATGAAGAAAGACTAAGATAAAGCAACTTGCGAATATCGAGATTACTTGTCCACCTTCATGACCTGAATCAAACTGGGTGAAAATCAACAAAAATAAGAATTACAATTCAGAACCTCAGAGATTTCTATCTTTTGAAGATCCTTTTTGAATACCCACCCATTTTTTGATGACAAAAGTTCAGTAGGTAATCGATTTAACCAACGGGCACATCGATAAAACAACGAATTAAAAAGACCGGAGTAGAATTTTTTGTTCAATCTGGGATAGTGGAGATTGAATCCTCCTAGCCTACGGCTTACTGGTCTAAAGACCCAGAAGCTGCTAGCTCTCAGATCAATTTCCTTCCTTAGTATCCGAAAACAAAAAACCAGATCAGATATGATTCTTCTGTTCAAAAGAGGCTTCAAACCCATCATCTTAAGACGTCTATCATATGCAGGAATATCTTTTCTTGAAATAGTTTGGAGTTTACGAAAAAGAGTCATACGCGTGAAGATGCGTTGGACTTTTTCGAGCTTCAGTATTTCCTTTCTACAAGATGGGTTCCACACCTGAGAGCAATATTCCAGGTGTGGGATAACATATGCCTTATATAATTTAGTAAGTATACCGTTTAGAAAGCTACGCAACCTTATACATAAATGCTTAAGTATTGAGCTCAACGTCCATGGAAACCCGATTACACAATTTTTCATATTTATTTGAAAATTTTTGAAAGCGCAGCTTTTTTCACAGTGACACCAAATGTTTGAGTTCCTACCGTAATCTTACAGTAATGAAAAGCAGTCGGTGATTCGCTCTACACTGTAAATCTAAGTTGAACCTCGCTCTACAAAATGGTACCTAAGCTTCTCAAAATGCTTCATTACAACAGAGTTATTTACAGTCAAACAGTGAGTACATTTTTTTGGGACACCCTATATATTTCTTGCCAAGAGGCCGAGCCAAGTTAGGTAGTTTTCCTTATGAGGATTTCACCTTCACTTCAGCTCATTCACATGAACAATTTCTGGCCTCCTTCGGTATACTTCAGTGTATTTGCTCTAGGCACTGTTAATCTTCTCATTTCATACAAATTTCTGGTAAGTGATCTTGGTGAATGAAGTATTTCTCAAAACTTAAATTTAGATAGAAAGCAAGGGTGTTGATCTTGATAAAGTTACCATGGGTGATATTAGAGAAAGTGGAGATCGCTCACGGATGGTTGAACCCGCAGTGGAGAATTGCAATGTGAGAACATTCTACTTTCGCAGAATAACGTCAGAAGCGTAATATTGCAGGCATGCAATAATGATAATGCACATCACAGCTAATAGCCATCACAAGAAGAAGACTCTGACTAATTCTGTGTTTCTGTTTGATTCATAATCTACCTACTTTGTTATTGATCTCGTTTTTATCAACCCTCATTACAAAGACATAAGTTTAGTGCTCGATAAGTGTGAAAGTATGTATTCACTCCTTCAACAAAACGGGAAATGGCAAAGTCCACAAAAAATCAATTCTAGCGGAAAAAGAACGCAAAAAAGCGCCATTCTCTTCTTCCCATCCTACTAGAATCAGTATATCTAAAGATTTAGTAGGAGCAAAAAAAAGCTGAGGTGAATTTTCGATTTTGCACATAATCAGCTTCGGGCCTAAGAACGAGAACCGTTAGGGTAGCTTTCTTTGCGGACCTCATCATCAGTAGTACCCAAGAAAACTTCATCAGTGCTGGGTTTGAGATAATCAACATCAAAAATAAAGTATGATTAAAGGCAGCGTCCACCCAGATTTTGACTTCCATTTTTCTTCTCATGTTCCTGATTCCAAATATAAAGTCGAGAATTCGCAAAAATCCCGACAATCGTTCCGCAAAACCCGACGCCGATTCCTCAACGGTATTGGATGGGCGCGCATAAATGACCGGGCATTACTGCAGGGAGCGTGCCGATTGGGTTCTTTAAGTTCGCTATTCCAGAGCCATACCTTCGATAGTCTAGAGACAGGGTTGTTTGACGATTTGACGTCATAAATAGTGAAGGTTGTTTGAAGAAGATCAGGTAAGAGAAAATGACGTAAAACAGTTATGAAAAGCAAAAGAAACCGCTGTAAACCGGATAAAAACGCTGCAATAAAGTTTGAAATCTCTCATTTGGTGGCTTTTCAGAGAGGAAGTTTTCGCTCCAGGACCAGCAATTCGCAACACGGAGTTTTGATTTTTGATGCGTCCTTTGAATTTTCACCCTCGCATTGACGTTCCTGTTTCCTGGGACGTTGTTTGGATTGTTGCGCTTATTGTTTTGAGCAACACTCGCCAAAGTCGAAAAAAAAATCGATGCGAAAGCACTGAAACAGAACAAGGTGAAGAAAAACGCACTTTTTACGATTTTTCGCAAAAAATTCCACCATAATCGAAGAGGTAAAGGCTGGGTGGTTGTCTGCATTATGGACAGAAGCAAGATCTATAGAATGCATGAAAAAACCGCGTGAAAAGAGGTAAACTAGGAGAAAAACAAGAGATTTTTGAAAACAAGGTTTTTGTCGGATTTCTCGATCAAATCAAAAAATGTGGCTCTGGGACGTTATCAGCGTGAAAATAGAGATCAAGAGCTTCAAAATGATATATAGCTTGCAAAATTTGGGTTCGAAACAGCGAAAAAAAGGGTACCAGAGCCAAATGCCCCGCGCCCCGCGTTTGGGGTAGAGGTAGCGCGCAGCGCGCGGAAACGCGGACGAGCAGCGGAGACAGACCGAAGCCGACGGTGCATTTGGCTCTGGTCGTAGATCTCCGCGGGGTCTCAACGACACCCTGCAACATTATATATCATTCTGATCGTCATAACACGACAAGGTGGTATACTTGGGTAATTTGAGAATTTTTCATCGAATGAATGAATATCGAACAAATTCGAAAAGAAAAAATTTCGAATAAACGAATATCGAATAATTTCGGAAAATCAAAAATATCGAATGAATGAATTTCGAATAAATTCGAAAAATCAAAAATATCGAATGAATGAATATCGAATATATTCGAACAGTGGAAGTCGAATTTCGAATAAATATCCCAATGATTTATCGAATAACTAAAACAATCACATCTCAAACTTGCCCACATATATGGCTAGAGCCGATCCAATCATAATTAGCCCCCTAGTATCCCCTATACCAACTCCTAGCTCGAAATTTTCCAAAAAATGCTGAAATCGACAAAATAGATTTCGGTTTTAATCAGTATCCTCATTTACCCCCTGAACCAACTCCCAAGCTCGTACCTCGAGATTTTCCAAAAATCGATAAAACTTATGGAGTAAATTTTTATCCATAATCAGCACACTCACTTACCCCTTTGTACCAACTCTCAGCCCCGCAGCTCAAACTCCCCAAAAATCGAAAAATGCCGGTCGGTCGGCATCTAGTCTATACAATACCGCTCATAATTCGTCAAAAAAGTCGCCGGAGTGCGGCGGAGTGTGGCGGAGTGCGGCGCACTTCACCACACTCCGCCGCACTCCGGCGCACTGCGCCACACTTCACCACACTCCGCCGCACTCCGGCGCACTGCGCCACACTTCACCACACTCCGCCGCACTCCGGCGCACTCCGCCGCAGTCCGGCGACTTTTTTGACGAATTATGAGCGGTATTGTACATCAGCAAAAAGTCATATTTTACCCATTATGGACGATCCAAAAAGCAGTCGATATAAATTTTTATGCTGTGCCCAAAAGCTTTTTCTTCAGATGGTCTGAAAGAGACTGATGTACACCAGAATTGACTTTATTTCTTATCAGCATCAACAATGTAAAAGCAAAGGGCTTGCTCTACTTTCTACATCAAGTAAAATCCACATATGATTTTTTCACTGTCGCAAGCAGTCGGAAGAATGCGACTCTCCATACAGTTCAAAGGTATAACGGTTGCAAAAGATGCACTACCGAGTTTTGCGAAAAAAAACGCGGACGAAGCGAGCCAGGGCCCGGCGGGGATGGCGCTTTCACAAGCTGGATATCGTTTTTGACCCGAAAAAGCAGAGGGGAAGTCGTGTTTTGGGGTCCGGGGCTCCGCCTCGGACCCCAAAATACGACTTCCGCTTTGTTTACCGATAAACAATGCACATATCATTCTTTATTCATCATTCCTTGTTGATGCTACTGTCCTATGAACTTAGATTCCAGCAATGTGAAGATTCTGTGCTCCGATCGCTAGCCTGCCCGCAGGCGGGAGTTCAAATCGCAATTATTGTAAAAGGAAAATAACAAAATAGGTTCGTTTTCAATGCACAAGTAACGATATGGCACCAAATTTGCTGTATAGTTGGAGGACCATGAGCACAAAAAAAGTATGAGGAATTATGAGAACTTATGTGAATTTAAAAAATGTAAGTGTTTTTCAAAATTAGGTGGCTCTCGCGCCACCTGAGAGCCACCTGGGGTGGCTCCCTGCTTCCCTTCACATCTGCTTCCCTTCACATAATTTCCCGGATTCCTTTACATAAATGTGGACTAGGTCGAGAGTATTACTATATGTTCAAATCCGCTTCCAAAACCACCAAGGCACCGCTTCGATACAGCCCCAAATAGGGTTCACAGCGTTATGATCGGCCTCGGAAAGCGCGCTCCAATCGCAATCGGTTATTGTAAATTGTAAAGTTTCGCAGCTGACTAATAAATGAGTAGTATCTTAGATATATAAACGTCAAAGTTTGTGCAAATCTTGACCCTATGTTTTTTTACAGATTCCTTTGCGGATGAACCCATTGAGCTGAAACCTTGAAAACATATGTTTTCGGCCTCGGGAGATGGTTTTAAGCTACCCTTCGAAGCAATTCGTGGAATTCTTCTATCGATTTAATGATTTCTGGCATCTTGCAAGGAAAGTGAACACTTACCAGCCGCTAACAAACTGCTTGCACATTTTGGAGTGAACAATGCAGTGAAGTTCATTTCACTTTTTCCCCATTTCCACTTTAAAATTAGAAGGTGCAGTCACTCCAATAAGCCTTTCTGGGGTAAGCTCGTGCAGGAGGGTAAGGGGGAGGGCTGCAGTGCAGTATTGATACTGCAGAAAAGGGGTGGAGAATATGGCTCAAAAGGACGGGAAGGTCGAAGGACAAAGTGTGGTTTTTGGCCATCCCCTCAAACGATGACCCGGGCTGAACCAGGAAAGCAAGGTAGTACTACACTATAATAAGCGCTGAGGCCTCCCATCTTATTATTTATGTATATCTGTTTGTCAGGGGCTTACGGGGGTCAAAAATAGGGTCAAAGGGGAAGTCGTAAGAAATTTCGGCTTCAAAGGGGATATCGTTTTCAAAATTCTGAAATGCCACCTCCTGCCGGGCATTGGAGTGAGCTTGATATTCAGCAGTTGGCTTTGCAAGAAAGTCGAATAATTTGAATACGGAGTCATTCGAATACGAATTCGAATAAACATTCGAATAAAACATTCGAATAAAATCTATTCGAAACCCGTTTTTTGATTATTCGAGTTTTCGAATAATATTCGGAACCTCGTTTTTTGATTATTCGACTTTTCGAATAATATTCGAAACCTCGTTTTTTGATTATTCGAGTTTTCGAATTTTATTCGGAATCCTGTTTTTTAATTATTCGAGTTTCGAATATTATTCGAAAATGGAAGAACTCCGAATATCGAATTTCGAATACGAATATATTCGAATGTTTTATTCGAATGATCGAATTTCTATTCGATTCGGACCCAAGTATACAAGGCGGACTGACAACGTCCCAAGCTTTGAAAATCACTCACTAACGAGACAGACCAGCGTATTCGTGCGCGATTCTCTGCGCAATAATTAAGCGCAGTTTCTCGTTTTTATTCAACTCCAATAGCTTTCCTAAACTTCTGAAACTCATTTTGGTCAAATGAGAGGTTAACTGAGAAATTTTGTCCTGAATTCTGGCGAAAATTCCACAAAAACCTTCTTTTAATGTAAAAAAAGGCTATGAAATCGCAAATTCTCGGTTTCGCTGAAATAAGCTAGAGACATTATTCCCTATAATTGCTTCATTAACATACGTTCCGATATGGTCAGGATAATAACATCCGGGGCGAAACCCCGATAACTTCTCAGGTTGTATCTCCTCATAGCCCTCAAAGTGAAGGTTACCAGAGTACATGGCTCTGTGTATCGAGGGTATGTCCAGAGCGATTTTCTCGCTTCCGAAGAGCCATTCTGCGCCGCGAGTTGGGCTGACTCGATAGAGGGCGCTTTATTATCGTAAGCTGCCAACGGTTCAAGACCCCCAACTTAGGGTGGACGGTGCCTTTAAAGGTCCAATTAAACAGTGTCCAATTAAATTTTGGTT